TGTGCTGTGCTTTCACTCTCACTTGTCAAGTTCGTACTCTTGGTGGTGTTCCGGTTCTCACTTTGCTGTTCAACTTCCCATTTGTTGTGCTTTCACTCTCACTTGTCAAGTTCACGCTCTTAGTAGTGTTCCGGTTCTCACTTTGCGGTTCAACTTCTCATATGTATGTGCTTCCTCTACTCCACTCTCACTTGTCAAGTTCGTGCTCTTGATGATGTTCCAGTTCTCACTTTGCTGTTCAACTTCTCATGTTTTGTGCTTTCACTCTCACTTGTCAAATTTGTACTCTTGGTGGTGTTCCGGTTCTCTCTTTGCTGTTTAACTTCTCATGTGTTGTGCTTTCACTCTCACTTGTCAAGTTCGTACTCTTGGTGGTGTTTCTGTTCTCACTTTGTTGTTCAACTTCCCATGTGCTGTGCTTTCACTCTCACTTGTCGAGTTCATGCTCTTGGTAGTGTTCCAGTTCTCATTTTGCTGTTTAACTTCTCACATGTATGTGCTTCCTCTACTCCACTCTCACTTGTTAAGTTCGTGCTCTTGATGATGTTCCGGTTCTCACTTTGCTGTTCAACTTCTCATGTGCTGCGCTTTCACTCTCATTTGTCAAGTTCATGCCCTTGATGATGTTCCGGTTCTTACTTGGCTGTTACCACTGTGGGATGGGTGACCGACATTTGGCTGTTACTGCCGTGGGATGGGCGACCGACATTTGGCTGCCACTACTGAAAGACGATTTGAGTAGGACTAGTTGTCTCTCTCTCTCTCTCTCTCTCTCTCTCTCTCTCTCTCTCTCTCTCTCTCTCTCTCTCTCTCTCGCTAGCCCGTTCTCTCTTCCTCTCTCTCTCTCTCTATCTCTCTTCCCCTTCTCTTCCTCTCCCTCTCTCTCTCTCTCCCTCTCTCCCCCTTCATCTCGCCCTCTCCGCTCCGCCACTTGACAAATAACTAACGCTTCACCCCTCACTTGTTACATTGCCAGGGGACGAACGGCAAAAGAAGTCAGTCCTCACTTGGTGGAGGAAGAGGGCAAGGGAAGGGTTGCCGGTCCCTTGTGCCGCCAAGAAGGAAAGGAGTGGAGGTTTGAAAGATTGAAGGGAGGCAAACCCCGAAAAGAAAAAGTAACTTGGGGCAAGGTAAGTTGACTCAACCAGAACCCGGACTGCATGACTATGAAAAGAAGAGAGCTTGGTTGTGCTTGATAAAAGGAATGGGGCAAGACAAAGCATCAAAGGAAAAGTAGGCATGCGGGAAGGGCTATGTGTTGACCCCAATGGGGGATTGTACCGGTCTTTGCCTTTGTGTGGGATTGTGCAGGTGAGTAGCTTGGGATGACTTGAGCGGGACTGGGTCAGGGACACGTAGGTGAAAAGAGGGGGAGAGATGAACGAGTGAAGGGGCCTTAGGCCCTTGCGTAAGTTTGACCGCGGCAAACCTTGGTGTATGATGCTTTGAGCAACGGATGGAGGGAGGGGCGTGGCCTTACGTGATGAAAGTGTGGAGTGATTCTTTGCATGCAACATGAAAGCCCGGAAAGACTAAGGGCAGGCAACGGAACTATGAACGAGATGCACGTGTCAAAACAAAAAAAAATAGGCGGGGGGCTAGGGGAAAGACGACGGTGCCGCACTCCGATGATGCCGCATGACTGTTGTGTCTAGGGAAATGGTGCGTGGCCTAAGGATGACGCTTAGCCTACGCACATAAAGAAGAGAAATTCTCAATAAACCCCCTTGGATTGCCTGAGTATTGGAAGGAGCAATTGCTTGCGAACATAATCAAGAATCAAAAACTTGCGCTTGTGGAAATCATCAGCGAGACTACCACCCGGCGTGAGGGCTGAGTTACATCCCCAATGTCAAAGCCCTCTCGCTCGATGGCCCACCCCCATCCATCTCAAAGCACTAGGTGGGGACCCTGGGACGAACGACCCTCGCCCTGAGCATGAGCGTGGGCGGGTCGAGCCAACTGGGACCCACAGTGGGGTCCACAAAGGCTCGAAAGTCTACCAGGGTTCGGCCCTACACCGTGTCCTTCGACATTTTGGACACCCAATTCGACATGATTTTGGGCATGTCATGGTTGTGAAGCGAGAACCACCCGATGAACTTCTACCGTCGCACCGTTCACATTCGTGATCGGAACGGAGTACTAGTCCTATGCACGGTGCCTCCACCTCACCCTTCAATCAGCTGTCACGTGGTGTCCGCCGCGAGCATTCGAGCTTCCATCACCTGAGACAACATCGAGGAGATGGGTGTGCGTTTTCTCCACGCCCTCCCACCCCATGACATCTCATCGACGAACGCATCGACGGATCCACGCATCACCGAGCTTCTCGACGCCTACAACGACGTGTTTGAAGCCCCGCACGGAGTAGTACCGGATCGGCCCATCCACCACGAGATCATCCTGGAGGCCGGGGTCGTTCCTCCTCATGGTTGCATCTACCGCATGAGCGAGAAAGAGTTAAGTGTGCTACAGGCACAACTCGATGACCTTCTTGAGAAAGGCTGGATTCGGCCCTAGCTCTTCGTCATACGGCGCTCCCGTTCTCTTCGTCCGAAAGAAGAACAGGGACTTGCGGTTGTGCATCGATTATCGCAAGCTCAACGCGCAAACCGTCAAGAGCGCCGGCCCTCTTCCGCGTATTGGCGACTTCCTGGAACGGCTGGGCAGCGCCAAGTTCTTCTCCAAGCTTGACCTCAAATCGAGATATCACGAACTCGAGATCCGACAGGACCGCTACAAGACCTCGTTTAAGATGCGATATGGGCATTTCGAATGGCTGGTTATGCCTTTTCGCCTTACGAATGCCCCGACCACATTCCAAGCGGCTATGACAACGGAGTTCCAACACATGCTCGATAGATTCGTACTCATCTACTTTGACGATATCTTGGTGTACAGCCGGAGTTTGGACGAGCATGTGGAGCCACTGCGCACCGTTTTGGAGCAGCTACGACAAGCCAAGTACAAAGCCAACCGCGACAAATGCGAATTTGCGCGGCAAGAGTTGGAGTACTTGGGACATTATGTGACTCCGCAAGGCATCAGTCCGCTCGCGGACAAGATTGAGCCCATCCGCGTATGGCCCGAGCCCACCAACACCACGGACGTTCGCTCATTCATGGGGTTGGTGCGCTACTATCAACGCTTCATCACCGGATACTCAAGGATCGCCGTACCATTGACGAGACTACAATCACCAAAGGTGCCATTCGTATTCGACGACAACGGGCGCCGGTCATTCCAAACACTCAAGACGGCCATGCTCATGCCACCCGTCCTTAGCATCTACGACCCCACCTTGCCAACGAGAGTCACGACTGACGCTTCCGGCTATGGCATTGGGGCAGTCTTGGAACAACACGACGACGGCGATTGGCACCCCGTGGAGTATTTCAGCCACAAAGTGCCTCTCATCAACTCACTTGATGATGCAAGGAAGAAGGAGCTACTCGCGTTCGTAATGGCTCTCAAGCGATGGCGACACTTCCTCCTTGGGCGTCGTAAGTTCACATGGGTCACAAACAACAACCTGTTGACCTACTACAAGACGCAGGATACGGTGAGCAGCACGATCGGACGATGGATGTACTTCATCGACCAATTTGACTTCACACTGGAACATATCACCGGCCTCTCCAATCGCGCAGCAGATGCACTCTCGCGAAGACCCGATCTTTGCGTTGTGACACATCATGCCTTCGCGTTCGACGAGGAACTTCAGCGGCATTTCATTCGGGGCTATCAATCCGATCCAAATTTCGCCACGCTATATGCGCAACTATCTTCGGATCACCCGTTGGCCAGCCAGTATCGCATCGCCGACGGGTACTTGCTTCTCCCCTTGAGAGGCAAGGACTTATTGTGTGTCCCACAAGACCATCGTTTTCGGACTCACCTTCTAGGTGAGTACCACGACTCGCGACTTGCCGACCATTTTGGAATCAATCGCACTATTGCACGACTTCGGCAACAATTTCGATGGCCCGACCTCATTACCGATGTCACTCGGTATTGTGACTTTTGCGAAGTTTGCCGACGAAGCAAGCCCCACAACCGCAATCCCTACGGCGACTAGTGCTCGATGCCTATCCCAAGGGAGCCCGGCCTCTCCATTGCCATGGACGTTAGCGGCCCATTTCCCCGCGACCGTTTCGAGCACGACGGCATCCTCACGGTCATTGACCGATTGAGTAAATACACGCGATTTCTCCCTTGCAAGTACTACGCCACGGCTCCCGAACTTGCGCGCCTCTTGCACACCGGCTGGATTTGCAGCCATGGCTTAGCGGAAGACATCGTCAGCGAGTGAGACACTCGTTTCATGTCGGCATTCTGGACTTCTCTCATGTAGTAATCCGACACCAAGATGAAACCAAGTTCGGCTCAGCATCCACAGACAGACGGGCAAACGGAACGGGCACATCAAACCGCTCAAATGATGCTTCGTACACTCATCTGGATCAGAAGGACTGGGTTGACCGCCTCCCCGACATTGAGTTCGCCTACAACACTTCGTTACATCCGACGATCGGCTTGACTCCATTCGAGTTGCACCACGGTGGCCGGAAAAGCCGTATCTTCGTCGATCTTCTCCTGCCACGACCAGCCGACATAGACGCCGCTTGCTCTCCTGCTTCCGTCCGGAAGTACAGGGACTTGTTGGCTCAAACCCGCGCAAACATACAAAAGGCTCAAGTCCGCATGTAGCAGAAAACCAACAGGCGTCGCGTGCCATGTCCCATTCGCGCCGGTGATCTGGTTTGGGTCTCCGCGGAAGAGTTTGCACTCGAACATGATGTTTCGCACAAACTACTCTCCAAGTGGTTAGGACCATGGCCCGTAACATCGGCCGCGGGCGATGAGCCCGATGACCCCTCATTTGTGATCAACATCCCCCGCATTTGACGGTCCATCCAATCTTTCACGCCTCGAAGATGGCGACATACACACCAGCTAAGAGCGACGACTTCCTGGGCCGACGATCGCAAGACCCTCTATCTATGGATGGTCATCAGGAAGTTGACCGCGTCATCACGGATCGCAAGTACGGCAGCAAGCATCGATAGTACAAAGTTACCTTCAAAGCATGCGATCTCGATGACACTCGATGAATTTCAGGAGCCGATTTGAAAGCATCCGCACCGCTGATCTACGCTCACTACGAACGACAAAGGTTAGCTAAGGAAGTTTCACGACCTGCCCCTCCCACCCAGACTTTGGTCCCTCCCTCCGACAGGCAGCTTTGCCCTCGCAGGTAAGCTTAGTCTTTCAAGGAGGGGGGGGTGTGGCATACTGCACAGCCACATGACCTGTAGGGCCCGACCAGATGGAAAATAAGGACCTTCCAGGCCCTGTGTCGTTTCAGCCTAAAAAAGGGCCCGGAGCCCTGAGTCTTTTCAACCTGAAACGGAGGGCCATTTTCAGGCCCTCATAAGGTCGACCTGCCCTGAAACTTAGGCACCAGACCAGGGTTTTAGCACAGGCCATTTTTGGGTCTGTTTCAAGACAACCTTTGTTTGAACTTCAACACCAGGGTCTTGCACGATTCGGCATGGGCAAGAGCAGCCTCCCAGGCCCGACCAGCACTGTATAGTACTGATCCACCCTGCAGTTCACAGGCAGGTCACGGGCACTTCACGTGCAGGAGGCAGGAGGCAGTCTTCAGGATTTCGGCAGCAGCACTCTGGAGGAGTGCTGCAGTAGTAGTAGTGTTAGGAGTAGTCTTCAGCGCCGGGCGCTATTAGGAGCTAGAGTAGCGTTGGAGAGAGAGAGAGAGAGAGAGAGGGCGGAGGTCAGGGAGACTTACCTGTGGCGCCATAGCTTCAGCTTCGTCTGCGATGTACCTGCAACAAGGCGCCACCTTCATAGGTTAGTACCGGACAGAGAAAGAGAGAAAGTTCTTCTTCCTCTTCTAAGTCCACCATCTCTCCCTCACCCTCTTGCTACCTGACTTCTCAGTATCTGCAGACTACGAGAGAGAGAGAGATTGGTGACTTTGGGACTTGATGACATTTGGATCCAGACTCGACATTGGGATTGAGACATTTGACAAGGGACTATTTGGGACCTGTGCCGAAGACTTGGTGTTGACGACATTCCCATCTCCCCCCTCTTCTTCGTCTGATCCCCTCCTCTTCGTCTGTGTATGGTCTGGACCTGGCACATTCTTCCTGTGTGTAGCACCAGGCCCTTCACACCTTGCAATGATGATGATGATGGATGTTGGGTCTGCATTGCGACATTGATTGGGTTGATCATTGGTATTTTAGCCTTCCGTTGCGCTATCTTGTACTATGTGAGAGACGTCGGTTATTGTTCTGGTCTGCACCTTTACGGTATGCGACACTAATCCATATACATGGCTAGTGGGATCTCCTTCTGGGTGTTACTGCCCTCAGAAGATCACGACAGCAGAAAACAGGAAAGAAAAAAATAACGACAATTGCAGCACTATTTGGACGTGAAAGCGGCTGGATACACTATCTTGAGTATATGTGAGAGTGCACCCTCTATTACAAACTGTCAGTTGTCCATGGAATGCACCCTGCCTCATTGGCAGCGCACAAAAACAAAATCAGAAGAGGAAAGAAAAAACACTGACAGCAAAAAAACAAAACAGCCTCCTTATTAAGAAGAAGGGCGGCATCATATCTTTGGACATCTAATGCAACCAAACCGCACTTCATCTCCAAAGTAGCGTGGAAGTGCGTCACCTGTCCGAAAGAACAGGGCAGTCTGGATATTCTGGAACCAGAACAGCAGCTCAGGGCTCTCCAAACGAAATGGGTCGTTAAAATAATCTCCCACCAAAGGCTACCCTGGTCGTCATTCGCGCTACATAGGATCAGACAAATGGCCAAATACAAAACACCTCCAAACATGTTAGGCCTGTTTTGGGTAATGTGTAGCACCTGGGCCAAGGTGGGCAGAAGAGAGGGGACGAAACTGACATAGTGGAGGGTCAAAGGGCGTCATCGTATTGGTGTCAAATGCTGAAGCTATGGAAGGATATCTTTCCGGCCAAGGTAAGAGAACCACATACGAGAGAAGAGACTCTGCGACAACCGCTGTTCTGCAACTCGAGTATTAAGGACGCACAGGGGAAACCACTAACACTCGCTGCTAAGGACACTAAATGGGGGAAGTGGTTACAGCATGGGGTATGGCAAGTTAAACACCTCTGGGTGGAGGGGGAAAAGCGGTGGAAGACAGCCAGGGAGCTTAGGGCAGAACTCAAGGGATGTCATAGACTATTGGAGAACTACAAAACCCTGTTAGCAGCCATACCACAAGGGTGGGCGGAGCTATTGCGGAAGGGAACACAGTGGGGCCTGGGAGTCTGGCCACGTGGCAACAGGACAAGGAACCAAGCGAAGCCTTTAGAATCTGGGTCCAGGAGCCTACAAGAGATGAATGGCTACACGCGGGCATGTACACCATTACAAATCCGGACAGCACCACTAGCCTACTGGATCGGGACTCCAAAACACCAATCACTATCCAAAGGCAGCACCTGCGTAAAGTGAGAGTGGTGGAGACGGAGGACTACACAATATTCAGCCCGACTACACCGCTGGAAGAACTGGAGGTGGACCCGGGTGTGGGCGTGAAACATCAAAGGTGGAAGAATGGGAGTGGCCAGAAGGGTCAATATATTACATTACACCACTCGAATCGGCTACAGACTGCGAAGGAGATCTCATTCCCTGACTCACCACTGTCAAAGCGCTGGGAGAACCGGGTAGGGGTGTCACCGAATCAAATCCCCAAAATGCCTTGGACGGTGTTCAATTCAATACGCCTGGGCAGGGTCAGAAGTATGCAGTGGCTAATAGCTCATGTGGCACTCCCGGTAAACGCATGGCTAAATGAGAGAAGGAGCCAAGCCCAGAGGGATCCAGCTAACACCTGCTGCACAGTATGCCAAGCGGGAGTCCCGGAGACTATGTTGCACTGCCTGTTGGAATGCGCGGAGGCGAACAGTATATGGGAGGAAGCCAAGACTACTTGGAGCTACTTTTCACGGGCTCCCTTTCTGGTGCTCAAGACTACCTTGCTGTTGGGACTAGACCTCCCAAGCCAATGGCAGCCTTTTGAGAAACACATGTTTCAACTGTTAAGGCAATACAGCCTCTGGACTATTTGGAAACGGCGATGCCAAATCACCCTCGAAAAGCGGTCAATGCACAGGCAGGAGGCAAAGGAAATGCTCCTCACCCTAATCGAAACTGACCTGCCAGCACAATGGAAGAGGGTGGGGGGACAATGCCAGCAACACCCGGAAAAGGCCGAGGAATGTCGGACCCGCTTCATCCAGAACGTGCTGGGGCAAGAGGCGGGAGCTAATATCCAGAGAGGTAAACTGAGTTTTAAATGGAGAATGGAAAGACCGGGAGTAAAGTAGGCACCCAATAGTTAAGGAGGCATAGTCAAGACCGCATCAGGGCCCAAGGAGGCAGGAAGAAGGGTAACCCCGGGGGGGGGGAAGACAGAAAAAACTATAGTTGAGGGTTTAGGGTTTAGGGTTTGGACAGAATTAGGGCAAACAGGGTTCAGAATAGCAGAGTTCTCATGTGGCTCACACGGGGGATTTACAGTTTAGACACAATTGGCAGCTTTGGCAGCTTCTAGGACCTTTCTCGCTAGTCATGATTTATACGACAGGTTTTTGCAGTAAAAAAAAAAATAAAAAAAAATTGGGATGGAAGGGCAAGTAACTTAGAGGCTGAAGGAAGCGCTAGGGGATATTATGGATCTATAGGGATCAACAGAGCTATTACTTGTGCTTTTTCATTTCTGTTTAGGCCTTACTTTGTCCAGTTTGTGTTTGCTGGTTGCAGTAAATGGGACGCTGGACCCGGTTTCCAGCACAAGCCCACCTGGTTAATGGCCCCAGTACATTCCGGGTTGAAAAATAGAAAATAGACAGGATAAGCTAGGTTTTATGATAGAGGAAAACAGCTTAGCGGGCATAAATTCAGCTTAGTGGATTTAGACGACTAAGGTTTTAGGCAAATAGGGAATTGGTCTCCACGTCACTGAGGACAATAGGGTTTAGGGTTTAAGGAGAGTGGACAGAGAGGAGGAGGTGTCGGAGGTAATGGGAAAGACGAGCAACAGTGGTTGGTTCCAGGGCTTAAGTTGAGGATGGGTGGAAAGAGAGAAGGCAGTTTTCTTCGTTTGTTGCTATTTTCTCATTTTGTTAATCC